AATGTACCAATAAAAGAATTTAATTAAAAAATATTTTGTATTTTGCCAGAAAGGAAGCTCTAGTAAAGTTATGGCCTGAGAAATTAGTTGTTGAAAAGACTAGCAAGAAAAAGTCAAATATTTCAGAAGAGAACAATAGAAAGATGGCCTGAGAACATCACAAGAACCAGCAGGACTCCACACTTTGCAGCCTCAAAATTGCAGAAGTGAATGAATTCCTCTTCAAGAAGAGAATCCCAGAGCACCATGTTTCAGAATGGAAGCAGCCTAGGGAAGTTGTTTCTTGGGATTTGGTTCATAGGCAGTTGACCCCATAGCCCAGAAGGAAGCCTGACTACTACTGCTGCAGCTGGCAGCAGACATTGGCATCATCCACAGGGTGCTGGTTTTAGATGCACATAGGATGCAACAGTTGTGGGGGTCAGGAAAGCTTCCACTCAGATTTCAGAAGGCCCGGGAGGCCAGGCAGTATGTTCCTGAGAGGACAGTATGTGAAACTGATTGTGAAGCCAAAAGTACAGTAGCAATCCCAGAAGTTTAAAAAGCCAGGGACGTGTATCATCTGATGAAAACTGCAAAGAGGAACAGAACCATCACAAGAGAGAAGCCATGGGAGCTATAACCACCAGCAGTGCCATAGAGGCATAGCCACTGAAGTTCTCTGGAGTTCACATCTTGCCACAGATTGCCTCGGATGCTGAACATAGACCTAGAGGTATTAAAATTTTCCCTGCTGGACTTTGGCCTTGCTTTGTTCACATTCCTTTCTATTCCCCATTGTCCATTTTAGAATGGAAATGTTTATCTTGTGCCATTGTATTAAGTATTTAACATTTTTTTATTTGTACAGGGGGTTCCAGCTGGCAGTTGCCTTAAATCTCAGAGGAGACTTTGGACTTAGACTTTTCAGGAGTGGTGAAACTGTTAGGACTTTGGGAACTCCTAGAAATGGACTAAATGCCTTTTGTATAAAGAAATGTGCATGTCTTTGGCAGGCCAGGGTGGAATGTTATGGCTTGTATCTAAATGCTGTCCCCCAACCCTCATGCAGTCATAGGTGGGGCTTTTAGGAGGTGGCTGATCTAGGATGTGTGATGTGGGGATCAAGGTTGCAATGCTAGGATAAAGGGTATGAGTGCCACTGGCCCTAAGGGTGGGTAGCCTGGGTAAGATATAAGGGACAGAAAGAGGGTTGTTTGTCACTGCTGCTTGGATGCTTTTGGTGCCTTTTGCCTGCCATGAAATATTTCTTCTTTGCAATGCCCCTCTGCCATGCAATGCCTTAGAGCCAGCCAATTATTTACTGAAAGCTCTACAACTGTGAGCCATAATAAACTTTTCCTCTTTTAACTTTGGGTATTCAATATTTTGTCTCAGAAATGAGAAAAAGTAACTAAGACATCTGCCTAAGCTAGGACAGACTTGAAAATCAACACATGATCCTAAGGTGACAGCTGCCACTGTGCTATACCTCTAGAGGCCATGGATGACACTCTACAATAAGGAACAAAACCTATTAACCCCCCAACCCACAGCCAAACAAATGGAGCAGGCAGTTACTTGGTCAGCATTTCTGACCATAGGCCCAGGTGTAGGATGCCACTCCTGAACGTGGATTGACTATCCTACTAGACACATCCTTTTCAGTGAGCCATCATCAAGGTGTGGCTATCTTTGGCCTGGTGGAGAGGCAGCATAAACCAAGATTAACTTCAGAAGTGCTAGCTAGCCCCTGGCAGTGCAAAAGGAACATAAGGGACAGGTCTCAATGTGTAGATGGTGTGGCAGTGAGTTTACTGGCATAGAATCTGACTGGTATACAGGACCTGGTCTGAAGGAAGGACTGAAGTTTTCTTTGCTTTGTTTCAGCTCTGGCTTGCTTCCTCTGCTGGGTTTCTCTGCTGGGTTCCCCCACCTTCTTGGTTTCTCTATTTTCCTCAGGGCAAACCTACCTACTGCAGATCCCAGGCACATTGCTGTGGAATAAGCCACAAGAATGCAGTTTAGTTATGGGGGGTCCCTCTTGAACCCAAATTTATTAGTATTTAGCAAAAGAAATATATGTTGTAACATACAGGCAGTGCATCAAGATATCCAGATGTCGCTGAGAGCTAGGAGTGGAGAGGTCACAATCCAGGTTATTCTGTAATGCCTCAGGGATAAGGAAGGGAAAGGTCAGGCACAGCAAGGGACCATGGTCCCCTTTCTACATTGGGAAAGAGAAATCTTATAGCTAGGGCGAGGATGTACTGTAGTTCCTAATTTCCTCCCTCTTTCCCCAAGATATTTTAACATGACCTACATATGCATTCCTGTTTTCTTCTTCTACCCCACTCCTATATACCGGCAGTGGAAATAAGCACCAATAGTAACAAGAATAATAATCAAAGCCCCATCTCTTAATAGGCTCAAAATTCATACATATACATCAATATGGACTTTCTTCTTTGGAGTGACTGTAAGATGGAAAAATGGAGGATCAAGCCAATAAGCCATTATCTTGAAAGTCACTGTTCCCCCAAAGTACCATCCCATATGAGCTGAAGCAGGGTGGGGAAGGGGGAACAGCGGCAGGAAGAGTGTGCCTCAAAGTAGCAAGAGGGGTCAAGGAGTTCCTCAAAGTCTTCTGGGTAAGTGTCATAATCTACAATCTGAGCTCCAGGAAAATCTCATCCAAGGATTTCCTTAATGAGATAATAAATTAATTCCTGATAGTTGGAGCATCACTGCCATCTGTCTTTCCCAGTATCATAAGGAAAGGGGTGTGCTTAAAACCCCTGCCCTCCTTCCCTGGGTGGAAAATGTTTCCAAAATGCTCCTTTGGAAAAGCTCAATATGACAAATAGTACAAGGGCACAATGGTTTCAAAGTGGAAGTGTGAAACCTAAAGAAAAAAGAGAGAAATGAGTACTCTCAGAAGGTGTACACAAAAGGAAAGATACAAAGGGAAAACATAAAGCCATAAAACAACACACTGTCTACCAGGTTCCACATGCCTTAGGTACCTAGCATTTGTCTTCAGTACTTGGACACTTGCTGCTCCTATCATGGTGGGGAGGGAATAAACAGTGTGTTACAGCAAGAGTGGGGAGAGGGGAATGAAGAGGAGGATCCTAGGCAGGTGAGATACCAGCCCTCTGCATAAGTAACTTTTTTTTGTGTTCAACTTTCATTTTGCTTAAAACTATAAACAGCACTGCTTAAAAATAAAATATATTAAAAAACAATTGGTAGACATTGTTTTCCATGAATAAAAAATTCAAACAATACAAAAAGAGATAATTGGATATCAACTTGAATGCAACATACACATGGGTAAACTTGAAGTCTCCCTGCTAAAGCCCTCATGCCTTCCTCTAGCAACTGGACCTGGGGGCTGAGCGCAGGTAGGATGGTAGCACATATGAGAAAGCCACTGGCAGTAGCATGAAGGCACACATCCAGCCTTTTGAGTGTAGGAAGCTACTTTCCTCCTTGAGGGCAGGAGAGACTGGTGTTTGCTGAAGCCTTTATCCTGGGAAACTTGTGGCCTGGTACCCAAGCTAAATACATCTGAGCAGGAAGGGCTTCTTCGGAGACTCTAAAGCACCAAGAAGCTCTTATCCTGGCCCTGTTAGAGACCTGCTAGGTGGCCTTCTCTGTCAACATTTACTGGTCCCTCAAGGACTTGGTCTCATGTGGGAATTCTCTGGGTTAGAGCTATGAAACACTAAATAGGTCTACTGGGTAGCAAGATGAGGGCAGCAACCTCTTCTCAAGACACACCTTCCCTTGAAGTCACATCCAAAGGCATTATCCTGGGACCTTGCAATCAAGTCATGGTGTTCATCTGGCCTCAGCCTGCCTAGGAGGTATGGACATGATATCAATGCCTTTAGTAGCCTGGGGCATAGTAGTATTTGGTGCATGTCAAACAAGCAGTAGTTCACTTGTGGACAGGCCTAGATTTTGTGGTTTTTTTCTCCCATTGTCATTCTGTGCTCCTCCTCAAGTATGCAGCTGGCATTTGGTCATGAACTTCTGAGCTCTAGAGACTCAAAGGGGCATATTTCTGTAGCCATGAATCCTAGCTGGCCCCACTTTGGGTGATAAGGAACCTGTTCCTGGTCTAGCTAGAGCAGTGAAGGGACTTGGAGGCAATGATGTCCAAACCATGAATTCCTACTCAGCCCCAGGTACTACTCTGTGGTGTGTAACCTTCCAAAGCCCAGGAGAGTATACGAAGGTTATGACAGCTCCACTCAAAGGCAGTGCAGCTTGCTGCCTTCTTGACACCGAGGGTAGCTCTCAGCCCATGGCTAAAGGCTGAAAACCTCATTTCCCTCTCCCCAGATTGGCTGATGGGCTTTCTCTAGCAAGATATGGAGGCTGGTGTTAGCTACTGTCTGTGTGACTGGCACAGTCCACATTCAGATAGGAGCTCAAGCTGCCCTGAACGAAGAGTCAAGAGGTGGGTTTTCTCCATTGTAAAGGCATTTGGTGTTTGGTTCCTGTGAAATAGCCATGCCAATTTCAGCCTCACCCTTCCAGAGCAGGTTTGGTAAGAGGCCAAATGGCTAGAATCCGGGAACTTCTTAGAATGCTGTGCTGAGGTGAAGTGGACTTTCCTTTCATTCTCCTGCTTCATGGCAGATGCATTTCTTCATGATGTAGCCAATGTAAGCCTAGAGAGCAGGTCTGAGTCCCTTAAGGTGTGGTGTTGCAGCCATGGAAACTCACATGGTACTTCCAGGGACATAACACCTGCCAGACTGATCTGCTCTTTTCAGGGAAGGCTATGGGACCAGCCTTAATCTGAGAATCATGATAAAGACCCTGGATAAATATATCACCTACAGTTTGCCCACAAAATCACCTTGATTCAGTGGGTCATCAGCATCTGTTCCAAGGTTAAATTGCCATATCTCAGGAACGGCAAGAGCCCTGTTGACTTCTCTTAACAGGCATAAAGATGGCTGAAAGGGAGAGGCAGAAGAGGCAAGAATCATAATTTAGGTCTACATATCCAGGTAACACAAATTGTCCATGGCATTCCCAATAAAGAAATTTAAAAGTAACCTTTTCTTTGGGTGATTAATGAGAGGGTGGGCCTGGAAAGATTAGACTGTTACAATGTCTTCCTGATAGCAAACTCTTCATCATCAGTATTTCCAACCTAGTTTAGCATGAAAAATGCATGGATGCAGAAGAGAGGGTGCCATTCATTACATAAAGGGCTGAAACTGCCACACAAATCAGAATCTTGTAGCTTGGTACGTGAGGGCACACCAGTCTTTCCTCTCAAGAAGCCTGGTCCTTTGATGATGCTAAGGACTTGACCAATTGAGAGACGAAAGTTCTTTAGTGTGCTAGGAACAGCAGCTGAGATGCCTTTGGTATCCTGTGGTTAGAGTGCAAGCCTGGAACCTCTTTATAGCATCCAAAGTAAGAAATTGGCAAGGTTTGGAACTTTTTGGTTTTGGGGGGAAGTGTGGGAAGCAATTTTCCCTTATAAGTAGCTGGGCTGCCTCAAGCTCCACAGTATGAAATCTCTCTTGCTGGCTGGGACAAATGGACCCTTTTCCCTTCTCCTGCACCCCACAAACACCCCAACTGTTATAGCCAAGCCTAATTTAGGTTATGTTTCTTCCCTTATCTCAGTTAAAAAACTGTGATGAGATTATGAAAACTTTTAGAGGAAAAAGTGACAATTCAAAAATGTCTGCAACTCAAGCAGTCACAGGGTTAATAGAACAAAGAAAAAACTATCATTCCAGAGCTCATGACTATGGCAGTGTCTACAATAAAACTTTGTTTTAACCTTTGTTTGCAACTGGACAAAATTAATCACTCCGTTAAGGGAATTAGCTTTTGTCTCCAACCCAAACTATGGTAGGCCAAGTTAAAAGGCCCTATATTGTGATGATGCCAAAGTCCACAGCAATAGGCAGAGAGATACGTGCTCCTTGATCTTAAGTACATCTAGCAGCAATGAATAGCTTATAGTCCCTTCATGTAATGCTGACAGCTATGCCAAGGCTGAATGGGAGGGGGAGGATCTGTACTATAACTTCACATTGCTAACAGCAAACAGCCTCTCCCCATCTCCAAGTGAAAAGCAGTACAGACTTGGCTGCAAACTGTAATTCATAATTCATTGGGTGGGGGTGAAGGTGGTAAGGATTCAGCCTTTGTCTAGGATGAATGATATATATAATCACTAACTTGGAAATTTGAATAGGCACAAAATTACAGCATCCCGAACCCTGCACTTGTCACAAGAAGAAATCCTGAAAACAAAAACAAGCACAGCAGCAGTAGCCTTTCTGGGCAGATGTACTTGAGCTGAATGTGACCACAGATGGCAGAAGTGGGAAAGGGGAAAACAAAGGTGAAAACCCAGAGGGGTTTTCCTTGACAAAAGGATTTTCAAGTTAAACAGCAATCCCCACCCCACCCTTCTGCCTAACCCCTGATCCCCATTCACATGCTCAGGTCCCACGCCTCCACTCCAGAACTGATGATGACTACTTGGCTAAGTTTCCATTCATAGCAGTGGAAGAGAAGCTGGTGGGAAGAGAGGCACCTTGCTCAGTCTTCTCCTTTGGCAGGTCAAGGTTGGAAGCCCTGTAGTGACTGGGCTGAGGCTGGGGGGATTCAGGCTGGACCCTAGGCAGTTGAGGGATGCCATGAGTGATGCCCACAGGTTTAGCCTGATGCACAGGGCCAGAGCTGAATCCTCCAGTACTGGAGGAGCTACTGGGCTCATCAACATGCACTAACACATCTTGAAGCCTGGGTCTCACACTCTGAGAGGCCTGTGGCTGGAGGTTATAGCAAGGGCCCATAGGCAGTGGTAGGTGTGAAGGCCGGGCTAACTGAGGCCTACATTCCCCAGGTGCTATTGGCTCTGGCCTTGGCACTGACACTGACATGGCTACAGGAGGTACACAACAGGCTCCCTGCCCATACAGAGACTGGCTGGAATGCCTATCCAACTGGCTGGGGTTTATCCAGGCAGGCCCTGGTCTCACTGGAAGAGGATGGAGAGCCCAGGTAGGACAGTCGTAAGCCCCTGGGGGTTCAGTATAGAGGGACAGGGGACTGACTCGGCCCCATTCTCCCTCCTCTTCATCTTCTTCATCTGAATTTTCCTGCTGGGTCTGAAGCTCATCAGAGTCCAGATAGCCCTGGGCCAAGTGAGAATTAGAGAGCTCCAGCTCCAGGGTCTCTGCTGTGTCAAGAGAGCGGCTTCTCTTGTTCAGAGCTATGGCTGCAGGTGGAGGTCGAGAATGCATGCCAGGTAGCCCTAAGTATCGAGGGAGGCTGCTTACACCCCAGGACAGGCCTTGGTAGAATGGGCTGTGGTAGTTGTTGAAAGCATGTTTGTGATAATAGCCCAGCTCAAAAGCTTCCAAGGAGGCTGCAAGGTCTTCATTATTGTGAAACTCAGGATTCTCTTCACATTTCCCTTCCCCATCCCGCTCCACATCAGCTATGTCAAAGGTCACCATGGGGGGCAGCTCAGGGAGGTTTTGAGTGAAGGAGGAGTCAGAGTCAGAGCTGCAAGATGTGCTAGAAAAAAGGTTTCCATTGCTAGTAAACTCCACTAGGGCCTGTGAGAAACTCACAGTGACATTTCCTTCTTTCTCAATCTCCTCTTCTTCTGGTTCCTCAGGGGGTGAATAAGTAGGGTAGGCCTTCCTGGGAGAGCCTCCAAAATTGGCTTCTTGCATGTCTGGCTCAAACATGGCACCACTCTGAAAAAGCTGCATCAGACAGGTACTTTGATCTTTCTTGGAGCAGGTCCTCTCGAAACGCCTCTCCAGAGGACGGAAGTCCCTCCAGTCTGGCTCACTGCTCCCAGTGGCAGGGAAAGCTGAGGTGGTTCCTTGGTGGGAAGTCTGAGAGGCTCCTGATGTTCCCGCCATCAGGCCCATCACTGATGGGCCTAAGGGCCTCATCTGATACTCCAAAATAGGCTTCTCCTGCTGGGCCTGGGCCTCTTGGACTTGAGCTTCTAGGGGACGACCCTCTGGGGCCTTGGCTTCTCGGGTTCGGGGCTCCCTGGCATGAGCTTCCCAAGTGTGAGCCCCTCGGGCACATGCCTCCATGGCATGATCCTCTTGAGTGTAGGCCTTTCTGGTGTGGGGGCCCCTCACATGAGCCTCTTGAACACATGTCTCCCAGGCCTCAAGCTGCTCCCGACGAAGTTCCCAGTACAACAACTGTTTCTGGATGGTCACTAGCCGTTCTTCCTCTGTCTCCATTGCCCCAGGTGGCCGAGAGGAAGAAAAGGGCTCATAGTTCAAGAAGGGGTGAAATATCTCAGAGCTGTGACCATGGAGGTCATAAAGGCAGTCATCCTCAGGTGGAGAGTTCTCAAGAGTGTCATCTGGCTCATAAAACTCATATAGGGCATCTCCACTATAGCTGTCTCTGGGTAAGCAATCCCTATGGACAAGCCCCAGGGCCTCACCTGAATCATCCTCAAATCCAGGTGTAGTGGAGTCATAATAACCTTCATCACTATTGGGGGCAGACTCTTGCTGGTCACTCTGAGGAGTCAAAAGTTCCCCAGGGGCTAGACCAGGGTAGGACTGAACTGGGTCAAGGAGCATGTATCCGTGATGGGCTGGGGATGTGGTGGAATGGTAACCCAGGTTAAAATCGGGCCTTGGGTACATCTGGGCATTTGCCCATAGATACTCTAAGTCATCATCATCTTCTTCCTTGACTTCTTCTTCCTCCTCTAATTCTACCTCATCTTCCTCTTCCTCATCATCGTCCGGCAAGGCCATCTCTTCTCCACCTCCTTGGTAGGTCACCAGGCAGGAACTTCGCTTGGTCCCATCTCTGTTGGCCCTCTGACCCCCAGAAGCCATGCTGTCTGTCATACTGTCCATGTCTTGTTCTGCTATAATATCACCACAACCTGTTAATGAGTCAAAGCTTTTCAGGGATGTGACATCCCCAAACAGGAGGCTCAACTGATCCCCCATGGGGCCGTTGGGTGGATTTAGCTCTCCTGCTATTATCTTTTCCCCTGTTTGCCTGTGGGACTCCTCTAGGATACTGGATTCAGGGGCAAGCTTGGGCAGCACAAGTGGTGAGGCAGAGATCCCTATGGATTTTTCTAGATTTTTACAGGCTATCTTCTCAGTAGCTGGTGAAGAAGGCTCTGGTGCTGGAGAAATTTTTGGCCCCAGAACAGCTTGGGGTTTGGCATTTTCCTTTGTAGTGGCTTGGCAGGTCTCTTCAGAGCATGGGAGAGGGCTTGAGCTCACATGCTCATGAGATCTAGCTCTTGCCCCCTCAGATGCCTTGGCATTTGGCTCACTTTGCTCAGCACCAGCAATCCTGCTCTTTCGGTGACGGCGGATACTGTTAAAAAAACCTTTTAGGCCTTTCTTTGGCTTTGGTACAGGGGGCAGCTTGTCAACTCCAGCTTTTTTGGTGGATCCAGCCACAGATTTTTTATGCCTGTAGTCTATCTCCAAAGCCCCGTGGGCACTCTGGGAGCTGGGAAATCGGCAGGGTGATTCAGGAAAAGGTAGGGAGAAGCCAGTTCCTTCACTGACATCTTTAGGGCCATGGGCTACTTCACTCAGGCCATCATGTGTTTTGCTTTTCCTCAAACTCTTCTTGGAGCTGCTTTTTCCAGAACCTTTATTTCGTCCCCCTCCAAAGAAACTAGGCAGAGTACAGATTCCCTTTTTGCCACCAAAAAGTTTCATGGCAGTTTTCTTCAGTCTACCTGGGCCAGATGAACATCGCTCTGACACTGGCCCTTCTGTTACCGCATCTGTCTTGTTCTTGGCTCCCTTCTCTGCCTCCTGGTCCTGGTTATCCCCAGAAGTTGCCGCTCCCTTGGTCTGAGCAGCTTCATTCTTTTGAGTCTCCATGGTGATGGGGAAAACTCAGGAATGTTCAGGTGGTAGTGTAGCCTCAGGCTTCCAGGTGGTGTTATAACATCATCAGTCAGGAAGTGTGGTCTGAAGGAGATGAGAGAAACAAAGATAAAGAGATAGATACTGGTGAGAAAGCACCTGGGTTGGGTTTTTTTTTCCCCACAGGTATATGTGGTCTCAAGCTTAAGTGGAACCATAAAGAAAGAGAAAATGTGGGGAAAAACAATCCACTCCATATGATTGGCTCACTGAGCCAGCCCTTTCTGGGACACAAGTCAGTGAAACATTACATTGAGCAACAGACAATTGTCACTAGTTGATTCCTTACCAGTCCATTTCCTTCAGGCCACTCTAAGCTCAGGGAAGCATTAGGCAGAGGCAACTGCACATGTACAAAAAGTTCAGTGTTACTACTGGTTACCAAGAGGGATTACAGAACCCCAGAAAAGGAGTCTCACAAACTTGCAGACTAGGGCTACAGCACAGAACTTGCTATGACAATGTAATTGGCTCAGGAAAGATATTCTCTGGGCTTCAGTATCCTCCATCCAAGAGGCCTACCAACACCTCCGATTCATAGGGATTATCTGAGGGGTTGAACTAGGTGAGATTCTCTATTGACTATCCTCATCACAAGAGATTTTAATGTTGCCTTTGGCAAGTGCAACTGCTCTCCATTCCACTTTAGAACCAAGAGGCAGATTTTTTTCTTTTCTTCTCATTATTTTGGCCCCCATCTATCACCCTTTCTATGAAAGGAACTCCTTAAAGGCATGACTCTATATTATTCATGCTTCTAGTCTGGGAGACAGGCTCTCCATACTTATTTAAACAAATAAACCTGAGGCAAGCCATACCCTTTCGGTCTAGATTCCCAATTGTCAAAAATCCCAAGTGGCAACAGAGATGAAACAAAAAGAGCTAAAATCTACCCACCCCAACATACCTCCTTGTTCTTCTACACCCCCACCATGGTCTCCCTAATCCCTCCAGGTCTGGTGTCTTAGTGACTGTAGCCAGTCCACAATTGGATTAGTCATCAGCCTGCAAAAACCCAGTAACTTTTAGACCATTACATATAAGACTCTCTTCCTATTAGACTAGGATTTCCCTTTAAAATGGTTGGAGGTCTCCCTTCTTGATCTGCTCTGTAGCATTTAGCTCAATGCCTGTCACTTACTAAATGTTCAGGTGAGGTCTGTTTCACGAATTCCACAGAGGGGAATAAAACTTCACAAAACAACTCAATTATTGCCACCCTATCCCCAGCACCATAGTAACAATCCTGTCAGTAATTTCAGGGATGAGTTGAAAATGTGTGGTAAGTTATATGCACTGAGCTCAGTACTATAGAGCAGACAAAGGGAGATCCATCACTTGCTTTTAAGGAGCTCTTGTTCTAATAGGGAAAGAGTCCTATACATAAGTGACTACAGGCACAACATGAAGGCCTTGAAGAATAGCCCGTTATTTCTTAAGTTTAGTAGTGGGGTATATTTCCTTGTTAGCACAACCCCAGATAAAACAGTGTTGATTTCCAGGACCTTGATACCCTACCTAGAAGGCAAGTCTTTTGGACCTTCTCTCCCCTTTGTTCTTTTGTTCTGTAAGGGTAGAGGCCAAGTCACCATTATTCTCTACATTGGCCCTTTTCTTTCCACAGGCAGCTGCAGTTTTGCAGGAGCCATGGACCACACAGGGAGTCCAAGTTATGCCAGCTGTCTGTCTGCCAGGGGACTCCAAAAAGGTCAAGGTAGCCCACTGAGCTTCTGAGCTATTCTGAGATCACAATAGTTCCTCTACTTATCTCTACCTCCCCAGTCCAATTGCAGGGGTGATGAGTGAGGACTAAATGTCATATGTGGCACCAAAAAGCACTTTGTAAAGTAAGTGCAAATAAGAAAGATTAGCATTACTGTTACTATTATTCCCTTCTAAGTTAAAACCCAGGTTCATAGAAAGCAGGAGACCATATAAAAAAGCCTTTTCTTGCAGCATATCCATTTGCTGTGTGGAAATGGAGAGGTTGATTGCCTAGGCTGATAGGGAGAGCCAGGGGTAAAAGGATTTTCTTTTCTTTTTTTTAAGTGTGGATGTATACGAAATCATCTAAGAGCAGTGTTTTAAAAAATAATTTTATTGGTACAATTTGCATATACATAATGATCACATTCACCATAGGAAATTTGTACCTGTATATATCTTGATTCCTTTTTTTCCCATTTCCCTCCCTTCTCTTCAACCACTCTTCCCTCCTTACTCACAAAAGCTGTTTGCATTTTTCCTTTTCTCACTTTTTTCCCTTCCTTCCTTTCCTCCCCCTCTTTCTAGTTCTCCTTTACTTTTGAATAATTTCTTCTTATTTCACATTATCTATTATATATTTTGGTCCTTATCTACACTTTTAGTTTCTCACACCAGAGACAATGCAATATTTACATGTATCTGATTTATTTCACTTAGGACTATAGTCTCAAGTTGGACCCATTTAGCTATGAATGACTCAAGTTTGCCCTTCTTTATGGCTGAGTAGTATTCCATTGTATAAGAAGCCACATCTTTTTTTATCCAGTCATTGGTTGATGGGCATTTGGGTTGTTTCCAAGATCTAGCTATTACAAACTGTGTCATTATAAATGTAAGGGTATATATATATACATATATATATATATATATATGTATATATATATATGTATTCTCACTGGGGCATGATACTTTCAATTCTTTCAGGAAGATATCCAGAAAAGGAATAGCAGGGTCAAATGGGACCTCTAATCCTACAGTGGACTCTCAAGATACAACTGGCCTGACATACGAACAACTTGGGTTACAACCAGAATTTGTTTTAACTTATGACCAAAGTCTTGAGTTATGACCCAAATGCCAGCCCCTTGTGCTTCCAAACAGACTCAGATATAGAGTCAAGCCTAAACAGTTTGGGAAGAAACATTACAACATCCTTTCCTGTGTGGGGTTAATTGAGAAATCCTGGGCCAATGTCTCTCTAAGGACACTGAGATCTACTTGTATCCAGGAAAGACACTAAGAAGGCTGTGCAGAGGAGCCTGAGCCTTCAATTGACCAACTTGAGTTACAACCAACCCTCAGGCACAAATTGAGTTCATAAATCAAGGTTTTGAGGAATCTTTACACTGATCTCCACAGTGGTTGCATCAGTCTGCACTCCCACCAACAGTGGGGAAGGGCTCCTTTTCTCCCATAGCTCTACCAGCATGTTATTGGTTGATTTCTTAACTGTCATTCTTTCTGGAGTGAGGTGGAATCTCAGTGTTATTTTAATTTGTATCTGTTGAATGGCCAGTGATGTCGAACATTTTTTTCATACATACGTTTGCCAATTGTACTTCTTCATTTGAAAAGTGTCTATTCATTTCAGATGCCCATTTTTTGGATTGGGTCTTTAAGTTTAAGTGGGCTATTTTTCTTCAATTCTTTGAATGTTCTAGATATGAGTCCTTTCTCTGAAGAACAAGTGACTACAATTTTTCCCACTCTGTGGGTTGCCTCTTTACTCTGTTGGTGATTTCTTTTGCTGTGCAAAAGCTTTTTAATAGGTTGGGATACCAGTTGTTGATTTGTAATATTCCCTGTGCAATTGGAGTTTTGTTCATGAAGCTGTTGCCTACACTTATGTCCTAATGAATTCTCTCTACTCTCTTCCAGCAGATTTAGTGTTTCTGTTTTAATATTTAATCTTTTATCCATTTTGATTTTAGTTTAGTGCATGGTGAGAGACATGGGTCTAGTTTTAGTCTTCAGTGTGTAGAGAGCCAGTTTTTCCAGCACAACTTATAAAAGTGGCTATCATTCTTCCAGTGAACAGGTTTGGCCCCTTTGTCAAATATAAGTTAGCTGACTGTGTGTGGGGTTGTTTTGGCATCTTCTTGTCTGTTCCACTCATCTTCAGATCTGTTTTTCTTTTTCTTTTTCTTTTTTTTTTGTCAGTATCATGCTGGGTTTTTTTTCACAGAGTTTTATAGTATAATTTCAAGTCAGGGATTGTGATGTCTCCCGCAATGCCTTTGATGCCCAGAATTGTTTTTACCATTCTATGTCTCTTGTGATCCCAAATGAATTTTAGGAATGTTTTCTCTAGTTCTGTGACATATGCTAATGGAATTTTGATTGAGATTGCAGTAAATCTGTACAAAAAATTGGGGAGTATGGCCATTTTCAATATGTTGCTTCTTCCTACCCATGAGCAAGGGATATCTTTCCATTTTCTGATATCCTCTTCAATCTCCTTTTTCAGAGTACTGTAAACTTCACTCTAAAGATCTCTTACTTCCTTTGTTAGATTGATTCCTAACTATTTCATTTTTTCTGATGATATCATGAAAAGTGTTGTTTCCCTAATTTCATTCTTAGTGAGTTTGTGTATAGAAATGCTATTGAGTTTTGAGTGCTGACTTTGTATCCAGCTATGTTACAAAATTTGGTTATTTTGGTCTGGTTATTAAATCTAGGAGTTTTTTGACTCCTCGATCCTTGGGGTCTTCTATGTAGAGAATCATGTCATTTGCAAATAGTGATAATTTAACTTCTTCCTTTCCTGTCTTTATTCCTTTTCTTTCTCTTAATTGCTCTAGCTAATGTTTCCCAAACTATGTTGAATAGGAGTGGTCATAGTGGATTTCCCTGTCTTGTTCCTGATTTCAGAGTGAAAGCTTTTAGTTTTTGACCATTTATTATTATGTTGGCAGTTGGTGTGTCATAGATGGCTTTTATCAGATTGAGATAAAGACCACTTATTCCAATTTTCTATAGGGTTTTTATCATGAAAGGGTGTACTTTGTAAAATGCTGCTTCTATATCTATTGAAATGATCATGTGATTTTTGTCTTTGACTCTGTTGATATGGTATATTATTACACTGACTGATTCATGTGTGTTGAACCATTCCTGCATCCCTGGGATGAATCCTACTTTGTTATGGTATATAATCTTCTTGAAGATTTTTTGTATTGTTTGCCAGTATCATATTGATAATTTTTGCCTCTATGTTCATTAGGGAGACTGGCCTGTAATTTTCTTTTGTGGTTGGGTCCTTATCTAGTTTTGGT